CAAGCTACAGACCTTCATTAACAAATGCCTTCGCTCAATACTCAAGATCAAATGGCCGGAGAGGATCAGCAACAAAGATCTCTGGGAGCGAACCAACCAGGAACCGATCGTGAAACAAATAGGCAGGAAGAAATGGAGATGGATTGCCATGCTCTGAGGAAACCATCAAGTGACATCACTAGACAAGCCCTCGAGTGGAACCCGAAAGGGAAGCGACGAGTTGGTCGTCCAAGGGTGACCTGGAGGAGATCATGTGAAGAGGAATTGAAAGCGTGTGGGCAGACTTGGAGCCAGGTGAAAACTACAGCAGAGAACCGAACGCAATGGAGACGCATGGCTGAAGCCCTATGTTCCTCTAGGAATTAAAGGAAATAATAAATAATAATAATAAGATCACATAGAGATCTCTTTTGATAACTGTACAGTTGTCTAGGGAAAGGGGTGCATATATGCAATTTTAATTGATAATAAGGGTAAGAAACTATTTTTTTATCGGGAAAAATATATAAATAATAGCGTATGAGTAGTAACAATGTTTGAAAAATTGAGAATAATCTTACGTAATTGAGGAGGTTGACAACTAATTAGTTTAGTGATGAATAATCATATTGATATATGTGCAAAACTTGAGCACTGTGGTAGTAAGTAATTCCATATTAGTTTGTTTATTAGATGTATCACACAGTCAGTGAAACAGTATTATTTACTGGATGACGAGGTTTCGAACAAAATTTATTGTTCATAATCATATCAATTATAATTACACGACTTCGAAACTTGAGTTTTATAGTTTTGCATGTTCTCTCCTATTTGTCGTCGTTGGAGTAGTAGAATTTCCCAGATATCTGGGTGAACAGGTGTTGAATCATTCCCATTACACGTATTCTCTTCAGTTGATTCGATAAACAAAGCTTCCGTTATCAATCTCTCCATGCATTTATCCTGTTACATTAGATTTTGAAATTATCTGTCATCTTATCCCATCCAGCCTATTGTATGTTTGGGTGTGTGTAATTGCATGTAGTGAGTGGTATAGCTGAACTATTCTCTAGATTTCTCGTCAACTGATCTCAATTTTGTCGGGTTTTTATGTTCGGCTGGTCTGGCTGCACTTGTTCTACTACTCTGACCTATGTATTTGACCTGACAATCATCGCAGGCAGGGTATTAGATAAACTAAACTGTTTTGTTTTAAAGGCTCGACAGGACTGATCCTTTAACCGACAAAGCTTGTTTCTAATTGAGTTTGTGGGTTTGAATTCCAGGCACTTTAATTCCTGTCTTGTTAAGAATTCTCCGCTGTTAGGTTTCCGAGTTTCCTTCTTTGTATGGAAGTACTACTGATGATTTTGATTCCTTATTGTTGGTGTCGTCATTATTATTATTATTACTACCACTATTATTATTATCATTATTATTGTTATCATTATTATTATCACTAAAGAGGGGAATGAATTGAAGAGGCAGTGAAGTTACATCGACTGAGATGGTTAGGACATGTGTTACGTAAGCCTAGCCATCGCCTTCCTCAACGGCCAATGTTAGCTGGCTTACATAGGATTGATCAGGTTGGAAAAGAGCCAGTCATGGTCAAACCAAAAAATGGTATCATTGAATGAAATCCACAACAATTAGTTTAGGCCGACTAGCCATGTAGGGAAATGTAGACTTCCTGCCTACCTGGTTGGGTTCTTCGAGATATTAAACACCAATGCCTGGAGACAGTGGGTGAAATGGCTCAAAAACGTCGTTGTCAATGGCTGGAGCAGATGCATTCACTCTTTTGGATTTATCATATCCAATAAAATTCTTTTGTTTTTCCTCACATTTCTGTTTATTATCTCTCTCTTGAATCTCTCTTTACTCTCTTCGCTTGCTTTGTGTGCTACATGTAGGAAGTTTGCCAAATCGAACTGCTGTACATCTGTGCAAAGTTCTACGTTGAAACCAGTCAGTCAATAAGACTACTTCCAGTTGCATCACTCCCCGATTTTCAAAGGTATTTGATCTTAGTTTATAAAATCTATTTCTATAGATTGATGGCTACCTAAATACATTTAAACAGTCCAAATTACTGAAGAGAACAAAACAGATTGGGGCAAAGCTAGTGGGTGCCTGGCGAATAATAATTATTATAGTGATTTCACAGTCTGCTAATTGTTAGACATCTTTTATTCGTCGTTCCCACCTTTCAGGTTTCTTCTCCACTGACTTTTCTACTGACTGACACCCGAATAGTCATTGCCTCCTCCAAAGAATCCGGTCGATATACTACTTCATATCCATTTGAAAAGTAGTACGCATCACCCCGTAGATAACTTGAATGCACAAAGTTGCAGGTGTTGTCAAATTATTTCTTGGTAAAGTTTAACTTTAGCCAACCAACAGGTGAAGATGCATCTACGACTCTGACGCATAAGTAAATTTGGTCCCTGAACTCAATCTTAACCCTAATTTGTCTTTCAGCCTCATATAGCCCTAATTAGGTTGACGTAAATATAACCAGTCCCTAACCTAAAACTAAAGCGAATATCTTGTCTAATATCAGTATGTAACAACAGAAGACAAGGGTCAGGCAACAGATCGTTTATTAAGGAAAATCAACACATATTTATAGATTTTAATGTACATTTTGGTGTGGTTGTGTTCTCTGAGCTGGATGGTTTGGTTGTGAAGCTTTCATTGCTCTACTGAGCAACATCTTCAGCGCATACTTCGACTTCACATCGAAGTATGCGCTGAAGATGTTGCTCAGTAGAGCAATGAAAGCTTCGCAACCAAACCATCCAGCTCAGAGAACACAACCACACCAAAATCATCCACCTGAGCTACAAATCTTCTCTATTATATCTTAATGTACATTATTGTAGATTATTGTAAGTAGAAAATACAGTCTTTTGATTAGTTTTTTCTCACAGAAAGTTAACCTTGCATTTTTTTGCGGCTGTGTCAGATCATCCATATGCTAACTGTATCCGCCTACGCAAAGCCTTTGTTCTCATTTTCTCACCACCAATATTGGGGACATAAACATTGACGTCAATTACTATCTACCAACTTTGGCTAACAGCCAGCTCTCACCACAAGTACACCTCCCTCAAGACCTTTCTTGCATGAATACAGTGTCATCAAGAGTTGATTCTTTGGAATTGGATTTGTTTTTGAAGTGTGATAACTGACTGATGTGATCTAGAGAAGCACTGGAAAATCGCAAGGGGTTACTGGACAGCTAAATGTTTCGTCGTAGTCTGGGATCCTTCATCAATACAAATCAGCCTTTAAAAATCAATCTTATGCTCTCCAGTGACTCGCTGTAGGACACAGATGCGTAGAGTTCCTGTGAGAAGTCGTGACCATTTGTGGGGCCCATTCGGTTAGGTATGAAAACAAAACTCTCCCAAGATGTCAGCTGTTTGCCATCCTTAAATCACGGACTGACTGAAGTTGATAATTATGGGTCATTGAGTTGGGTTCCAGTGGTTGAATCGTCTACCAGCTCGCCTTGTAACTCGAATGTCCTAGGTTCTGGAGAATCCTAAACCAGGACGAAACAGCTGGCTTTCCAGTACTCCCTGGTGCTTTTCAATCGTTCTCTAACTGACATCAATTTGTAGTCAAACTTGAATAAGGTGTTAGTTACCTAATTTCACCGTCTTGCTCTAACTAAGCCTTCTAAGGTCATTGGCGTACTTGCCCTGGTCGGGTTTGTAAAGTTTAATTTCGCTTATTTCAGTAGGTAGTATCGAATCCAATGAAGAAGCCTAAATTCTTCTCTTTATGACCATGGATAAACTTAGCTAATCAATACTAATCAATTTTTTAAATACATGGAAAAGTTTAGAAGAGATATTATTTTTTATCTTTGCTCAACTGATTATTCAATCTCTCTTTTTTCATGATCCATTCCTTTGTCAAATTGTCAGTTACACTGACAAAATTATGATCACATTGTATGATGAGTGAGTGAAAGCTGAAAGTATGTTTCTGTGTGTGTGTGTGTTTGTGTGTACGAGTAGTTTTATTACTCAACCTGAAGTTATTGGGTAAATGACAACGTGTTCATCATGTGACCTAACTGTCATGGGTTGCCTCTATCCTAAGTACACTTGTAAACTAGGAAGGAACAGTAAGCTGCCTTAGTTGCCTTTCTTTTTAAGTAGATCTCTCTTTTACACTTCCAGATGGAATACGACCACCCACTGGGAATGCAGGAACATCCAACTGACGAGTCCCAAACAGGATGAAATGCATGAGGCTGTTAGACTCCGCTGTGGGCCACCGGCAACTTAATAGTACTGCGAAAACTTAGGGGCAGCAAGACAGATCACTGAAAACAGTCTCAGAGAACCTAGGAGCTATTATCATGCCGCTATTGCAGATGGTTTGAAAGGAAAGAAAGACTCTAAAGAGGGTCAACTTAAGCTTTTCCAAAGACTGACGCAGAATCCTACTCTTGTCCACCGAAAAGAAAATATTGAATTGCATCATCATGGAGAGAATAAAAGATGCTCTGGATGCTCTTGGGACAATGTATATTTGGGAAAAACAAACCATGTGCTGATCAAATTGTAACGCTACTCATAATCATCAAATGCGACATAGAATGGCAGTCAGATTCCTGCCTAAATTCCATCTAGATTGAAAAAGTCTTCTATAGCGTTGACTGAGAAGGCATTTGGAAGTTACTTCAACTCTGTGGAGGGCAACAAACCTTCATTAATCTCATTCAGGACAGTGCCACATGCTAAGTGATTCACAACAGAAAGCTCAGCTCAGCGTTTGAAGTAAAGATAGGAATAAGACAAGATCGATAAGAAGAAGACCTGGTGTTATGTATGTGAATATGAGGACCTTGTAGACTACGAGCGAATCTAATTAATGCGCTGGCTAATCTGTCTTAATCGCACGTCAACAACAACAACAATAATACCGCCGGGCACGCAAGACAAATAAAAGAGAAGACTGGACGTTGATATGAGAGCTTTTACTGTCTCAAACAACAGTCGAAAATGTTAAACAACAACTCCGTATTTATACAATTAGAAAAATCAATGTCACATTTTAAAAATATTAACGACCTTGGGGAATTCAGTAATTTAAATCAATAATCACGCAGATGCGTGAAATCAATGATTATGCTAATGTGTGAAATAAATAATGAATATTAATGATTCCCCTGCGTATATATTACCTCCCCTTTTTAAAAAGAATCTTGCAATCAGTTTAGTATCTTTTTTCCTTGGGGTCGATTTGGAAAGGAACTGTTTGTGTTCGTTTGCGCTGGGATCGTCGGCTGGGTAGCATCTCTTGTTTTGCTTCTGGTTTGACTGGTGGTATTTTGAAAGTTTCCAGTAGTAATTCCAGTGGCAATTTAGGTTCTTGGGATGTAGTATATCGACGTCGTATCTGATTTTTATGTCTAATCCACCATTCATCCCCAACTTTAACCTTGTACATTAGAGTTCCATGTCGACGTTCTATCAAGCCTTCGGCCCATTTTCTGTTCCTCGGTCGATAATCGCGCACATAGACAGCATCACCCTTGCGGTAATACGTCAGACTATTTCTTCGTTGATGTGACGAAGCTGGTAACATGGAGTGGTGATGAGTTCGTAGCATTCGACCCATTAGAAGTTCTGCAGGGCTTTTCTTCTGTTCTGCCAGTGGTGTAGTTCGGTATACAAAAAGAAAGTTTTGTATTGCTTCCGGTTTCGCCCCTCCCCCTGCTTTCAACAACGCTCGTTTGAAAGTGTCGACAAATCTTTCAGCCTGACCGTTGGATTGAGGGTGATAAGGTGGCGTCCGCACGTGTTGTATACCGTTTCTCTTGCAAAATTCCTGGAACGCTTGTGAGGTGAACTGACTGCCATTGTCAGATACGATGATTTCTGGTATACCGTGACATGCGAAGATCTTTTCCAGGACTGATACTGTTCTGCTGCTAGAAGGTGGTGTCACTTGTACTACCTCCGGCCATTTTGAGTAAGAGTCCACGAGAACCAAGTAGTATATACCTTCTATCGGCCCAGCAAAATCCACATATAGGCGGGACCATGGTTTTGACGTGGGCCATGCTCTCGGTGGCGTATCTTTGGCTGCCATGACAGACATCACTTTCAGTTTTTGAGCAGAGCCTCTCTTACTGGAGCTAACAGTTGCCACTTTGTTGCTACCAGACATCGAAGCCCTTTTGGCGCAGCCATACTCACAATGACGATTCGAAGTTGGTGTTTCATTAATCACGTCATTCTTTCTAATGGGCTTAGGTTTAATATATCTGTCTCTGATTTCTGGCTTTCTTGTTGAGGGTTCAGTACTTTCGATCTTTTGGCATACACTGCTTAACGGAATCTCTGACAGATGCAGCTTCTCGAACCAGTCTAAACCCAAGAGGTCAAGGTTTGAATTATTGATGTAGCATGTGCCGATGAAATGACTATCGCGAAAACCAACGTTGCATTTAATTTCTCCATTCAATCGAAGTCTTCCACCACATGCGCTAATTGCTATCTGATTTGTCTTCTCTATGGCAGGGCATCCCAACTTCTGCCATAATTTCTTTGATATTATTGTAATGTCAGATGCTGTGTCGATTTGTAGGCGTGCCGGCCGTGTATTAATCGTCAGATCGATATATTTGCGAGGTGCTGGAGTACTAATATGATATGCGGCAGTAACACCCAAAGACTTGAGCTTGTTGCGCCGTTTGGGTCGACTACGAGATCTGGGTCGGTTGTTGCGTTTGCAGTAGCCATCTTTGTGACCAACAGTATGGCATCGACGGCATTTATGCTGTTTGAATGGGCACAAGTTTGCAAAATGCCAGGAGCCACAGTGCCAGCAGGCTGATGGTGGTTTATGCTGAGGATGAAGCGGTGCAGTTGATGTCGACGGTACTGGATGCACCGCATGCACTTCTGCTGCATTTTGGCTGCCAGACTGCACCAAGACGGTATCGTTGTGAATGTTGATTAAACGCTGATATTCTTCACCGACGTCTTTCAAATTCATTCGTGGATCTTGTTCCAGACGATTTAATAGACGTGTGCGTATATCAGCAAATTTGGGTGACTGCAAACCACAAATGAAAATCAGTACCTTGAACTGGTCTTCTGAGAGTGATTTCAATTTAAAACGTTCACACGTGCGATTGACTATACCCAACTGAGTATGGATATCATCATTTTCGTTCAAAACTAGTTTCATGCAATGGTATCGAATGTTGAATAACGATCTCTGATCACCAAACTGATGACGAAGGGTATGGACAGTTTCATCGAATGATCTTTCGCTGGGCTTCCGTGGGAGAATTAAGTTGCAGTATTTATCTAGTTCCTCTGCTCCCAATTTACGAAGTAGAAGCCGTACTTTCCAGGCATCATCTTTATCCGCAAAGTCTACTCGAAATAGGTCTTCATATCTGCGAAACCAGGTATCAAATGTTACGTTCGCATCTGGATCATAAACGAATTCTGAGATGCTGCTACCAATGCTGTCGTTGGCTGTGGATGAATCAGCAGAGCGTGATATTTGTAGACCAGCAAGCATTTCCATCAATTTTAGCTGCTGTTCCATTAGTTTCTCTAAACGCAGTGGGTCCATCTTCAGCAAACCCGTCGCCAAATTTGTTATGTATGTGAATATGAGGACCTTGTAGACTACGAGCGAATCTAATTTAATGCGCTGGCTAATCTGTCTTAATCGCACGTCAACAACAACAACAATAATACCGCCGGGCACGCAAGACAAATAAAAGAGAAGACTGGACGTTGATATGAGAGCTTTTACTGTCTCAAACAACAGTCGAAAATGTTAAACAACAACTCCGTATTTATACAATTAGAAAAATCAATGTCACATTTTAAAAATATTAACGACCTTGGGGAATTCAGTAATTTAAATCAATAATCACGCAGATGCGTGAAATCAATGATTATGCTAATGTGTGAAATAAATAATGAATATTAATGATTCCCCTGCGTATATATTACCTGGACTTCATGGTCAGTTTATGTCTAAGTTTACACACTCGAATGTCTACAGGCGAAAACCAGCAGTTTGGTAAAAGAAGCTAGCAGCGAAGACGGGACAGGATTTAAAGTGAACATATTGAAGACAGAGGTCATGAGGATAACTAACCAATAATATCAAACATCAATCATTTTCAGTGGGAGAAAATTGATGGAGGTCATTTCTTTGACGTATATATAGACAACATCGTTTCGACAACGGTCGGTCGATGTCACAGAGATGAGGGAGGATGTTAAAGCCAGAATTGGACATGCACTCCATATCAGTCTGGAAGTTTGCTGCACTCAACAAATAGAACAAGATTCGAATGTTCAACGCTAATATCAAGTCGCTGCTCCTGTATAGTTCAAATATTTGGTGATTAACAAAAGACCTTTCGAACAGGTTGTAGAGTTTCTCCAACAGATATCCTTGCCAGTTGCATACTGAAGACCAGGTGACCGATCTGGAAGGATTTATTTTATTTATTTATTTAAACGCAGAAAAACTTGGTACAATATGGCACCAAGAAAGATGCGCCACACAATAATAATGAAACAACATAGATTAGAAGTAAAAATATAAGTAGAAAGCGGATAAAGAGCTTCATCTGGAAGGAAAACAGTCATGTTTAACAAGTTCAAACAGTATTCGTTAACTATCACCAGGAAGGGAAGAAAGAAGGAAATTGCAACACGTTCGCCATTGATTACGATTCTTGGCCATATCCGATAACGTTTCAAGCCATCGATTCGAGCTATCTCGCGGACCCCAACCAGGGAGTCGTGACGCATCAACCGATGCTAGTCTAGCACAAATATCCTTCATCCCACGACTCCACGTCGTGGACTGACCACCCCTCCGCCTTTTCCATCCCGTCCCAGGGCTAGCGAACGGAGACCTGTACGAAAGCCTCTGGGATGATATTCTCAGCACATGTCCAAGCAACCGGAGCCGGTGTTTCCAGATGACGACACTCAATGAATGGTGATCTCCACTGTGTTCATACACACGCCGCCAAACCTCAGAATTACTCACGCGATGATTCCACCGAACACAAGCAATCCTGAGGAGACAGCGATGATCAAACACGCAGAGTCGCCTCACATCCTCAGCTCGGAGAGGCCAGGTTTCACAGGTGTAGAGCAAGACAGCCTGCACCGAAGTATTGTATACCCGACCACCTTTGACAGCCAGGCTAACATGGCGATGGCGCCAGAGGTGGCCTTCATTACACGGTTGGAAATCTCATCTGCCACCCCTCCGCCAGCACTCACACAACTACCCAGATACACAAACTTATCAGCAACTTCAAGTGGTTCACCAGCAAAAGTGAGTGCAGGTACAGGCTCCTGCCAATCTTGTAACAGTACTTTGCACTTAGACGGTGCAAAGCACATACCATACTTGCAGCCACTGGAAGGATTAGCTACAGTTAATTGCGGTGATGGACTAACCAAGAAGCTAATACCTGACAGATTGACAAAACGAAAAAGATGGGGATGGATTGGACAGTTGTTCAGAAGACTTTCACGTAACATCACCCATCAGACACTGCGGAGAGCAACCCGAATGCTAAGCAACGAATTGGACTGCGGTCAGATGGTAAATATGGGGAGGAGAAAGATTATGCACAGCCAGAAAGCCCGCTGAAAAGGACTATAGAGAAAGTGCTGAAGTTAAGATTTGTTGTAGAAGCCCTGTGTTCCACTTGGCACACAATGGAATAATAAAAATAATGGTAATAGTAGTGTAGTAGGAGTAATTTATTTGAGTGTAAATTTTACTAACTAATCAGTCAAAAAAAATCGATGATTCAATACAATTTAATGTTCGTCATTGAGTTTTCCAAGTCAGATGATTACATAATCTGTCATTCAAGTTATTGATTAGTCGACCGATTAATTAATTAATGAATTAATAAATTAATGAGCTTACTAGATCTATATGCGAAATAGATAATAATAATTGTGTCGGAAGCTATTTCATAGGAATTTCTCCGTATAATTGTGAAAATAACGTTCTCAATCGATTTTTAGCCAACTCAATCACTTAAATGTTACATATTTATTAGTATGTGATAGAACTAATTCTTTGAGTTGCACGCATTCTTTGTCAGTCAGTATAGCGTAGATAAGATGCGTGTTTGTTTTTGCTTTTTAATCGACTAATGTAAGAGAGTGAATTCAGTAGACTTAAGCTGAATCGATTTGAAATGAATATCTGAATCGCTAAATAGTAGATTTAAACTATGGAATTTGATTTCATGGAAGATGACACAACCTGATATGTCAGTTGGGAGAGTACTGAAAGTCAAGGAGTGCTTGCGAAAGCTCCACTTCTTTAAGAAGAAGTTTCTTTGCGGCAACATTGAGAGTAGTGTTCTCCAGTCGCCCGCTGATCTGCAGTAGCCCAAAGGACAAGATCCCGCACATGACCACTTCTGTGTGTATATATCAGTTCACCTGTTGCTGTGGAGTCGACCGGGTACATCGGTCGTTCGATGCGCATCCTGTCAAAAAGGGCCAAGGAACACTATCCAGAGTGACTGCAGAAAAGAAGAAGTGGCCGTATTAGGAGTGCAATAATCGAATATCTCATCACCACTGGTCATTCCATCTCAACGAAAGCCTCTTGCTTCAAAGTAATCTACAGAGTGAAGAACAACCTGCCAATGACAATACTTTTCCGTCTTCTCATTTGCATTGCAGAAGCCCTAGCCATTCGGTTATTTATTATTATTGT